AACTTGTTGTAGAGACTACATCAATTGTCCTAGAGCATGTCCTCCGTTCTAGATTTACCTGTTTCCTTCTTTGTGATGTCATTTAACTTATTCCTGTAACCCTTATGTTTTCTGTAAGCCTGTAAGTGAGAAGTCAGTTTTAAGGCTTGATTAGATTCCATTTTTGTTTTTTGGATGATAACATTTCACAGTTGTGCTGAGTGCATCAGATGGCATTAGATCAGGGAGTACACAAGGTCTGGAGTCCCACTGCAATGACACATTTTTATGCTGAGGCAGTGACAGTCTGCTCTCCATTGGAAAGTTCCTCATGAATCTTTCATCTGTTAGTTTCATCCATTGATGATGGTTGCCTGAATCATTTATTAAATGCAAGATTTCTAAATGGTGGTTTGCCAATTCTGTTATTTGTTTCATATTTATTGTACAAAATAGATTTCTCTCAACAACAATTTGGTTTTCTGATATATAGTTTAATCAAGAAAGATAAATCAGAACATTTGAATTCTTTTCTTTTAATGAACAATTTTAGAATAAGGACTTAGTGCTAGTTACTTGCAATATTGTCCAGCGGATTCTTTTTTTCTTTTTTTTTTTGCCTTCCCTTTTTGGAACATCATTAAGAACTTATGAATTTTTATATATTCAGTATGTTTCAAACAACTGCATTCATTACTTTTTTTGATGCTTCAATTGTCCATCTTTGGCCAAAGAAGCTACTTGATGTTGGTTTTTGTATCCCTTTGACACATTTTGACACATTTTGTTGTTAATGATTGATTTCTGGCTTTGTGACACAAGTTATCCTATGCTCATCTTGTGTATATCCTGACCCAGATCTGAAGTTAGACATTCCATTGGTCAGCCCTAGTTTCTTTTAGTTGGAAATTATATAGAAAAACCCCAAACTGGATGATTTACATTATTTTTATTTGTAATAAAAATTAAAGTTTATATATTTAAAATTTTATTCCAAGGTAGTAAGTTTAGAATCAAATATTTATGTAGTTAATAAACAAAACTGTAATTACTTTTTTTAAGCTCACTTTTAAAATTATTTTTATAAAAGGCTATACCTTGTTATATGTATACCTAAAACTGGATTAATAACTATATACCAATGTTTCATTTTTTCCAGATGGTACAATTTATATTTAAAATTTCCCAAAAAGTTTGAGATGAAGTATATAAATGAAACCTCAAATGTTTTCATATCAATTCGAATAAAAATATCAATTTCATCAGAGTTGCTATAGTAAAAGCTTTGAAAAACATTTTTGAAATGTCATGGTTTGATATGAGCTGTCAAATTTGAGTTTTAGCTTGGAAGAAGTAAAGGGCTATAATTTCAGGTGTTAGCAGACGCCTGTGTGGAAGTACATGACCTTCAAACAAATGAAATGCAAAATGCCAAAAAAAAAAAAAAAAAAAAGAAAAAAGAAAAGAAATGCAAAATGCCATTTGGCAGTAATTCTCCAAGTGAGGTCTGAGAACCCCTAGGGGTTACTGAAACCCTTCCAGGGGCTTTGTAAGGTCCTCCTTTTTTCAACTATGAATTTGTACAACAGTTAATTTTTTTCATATCTTAGGTATAACAACATATCACAACAGCCTCAATGCAGAGGCAGAATATGAGAATCCAGTGTTTTCCATTAAGCCAGATTTAAAAAAGATGTACAAAATGTTAAAAAAATGCCACTTTTCTCTAATTTTTTTGGGAAAAAGGTAGTCATTATTTATAAAAATATTTTTTACAGTAATAGGTAATGAATTTAAATTAAACAAACACATGTCTAATATTTTTCTATCTTAAATTTTAATACAGCAAATATGGACATATATATATAACTCACATAACAGCTCTTTAAAGTTCTCAATCATTTTTAAGAATGTAAAGAGATCTTGAGATAAAGTTTGAGAACTGCTACTCTATGATATTTTGCATTATTTACTTACTAATGGCAAGTATGTATAGATAGTGTGGATTTTAATATCTATATTAATAGAATTTGTAAGCTTAATTATTTTAAGTTAACTTTGTTTAAATATCTCTTTGAATATTAGATTTGATGCCTAACTATAATTTAAATTGGTACCTTGGTTAGAATATATGACTCATTTTCTCCCTGATGGTATTAACATCAAAGAGAAGTCTGCTTTAATGCATAAGGAGACAAAGCAAATATATTTGAACTAGATATATAAAGTCAAATATTCAGCTTAGAATTTAATAGATAAATCAGAATAAAATAGGATTCTCTAACTGCTGCTTCTTTTTCTCATAAACTTTTTTTCTCCCAAAGAGCAGTTTCAGGTTCAGAACAAAATTGGGCAGGAAGTACAGAGTTCCTATATATCCATGTACCCCACACCCGTACCCGCACGACCTCCCTGATTATAAATATCCTGTTCCAGAGCAGTATATTTGTTACAACTGACAAACTTACACGACATAATTATGAAGTTGAGATTTATATTAAGGCTCACTCTTTGGGTTGTATATTTTATGGGTTTGGACAAATGTATAATGACATGAATCACCATGATCATATCAAACGGAATAGTTTCACTGCCCTAAAAATCTGTGCTTCATACCCTGCTCCTCCCTGACCACTAGCAATCACTGATCTTCTTACTGTCTCCATATGTGATGGTTAATACTGAGTGTCAGCTTGATTGGATTGAAGGATAGAAAGTATTGATCCTGGGTGTGCCTGTGAGGGTGCTGCCAAGATTAACATTTGAGTCAGTGGGCTGGGAAAGGCAGACCCACCCTTAATTGGGTGGGTGCCATTTACTCAGCTGCCAGTGAACATAAAGCAGGCAGAAAAACATGAGAATTAGAGGCTGGCCTAGGTCTCCCAGCCTACAGATTTCTCCTGTGCTAGACGCTTACTGCCCTCAGACATTGGACTCCAAGTTCTTCAGTTTTAAGACTTGGACTGGTTCTTTTGCTCCTCAAGCTTGCAGACAGCCTATTTTGGGATTCTGTCATGGTGTAGGTTAATACTTAATAAACTCCCCTTTATATTTATATATCAACCGTATCAGCTCTGTCTCTCTAGGGAACCCTGACTAATACACCATAGTTCTGCCTTATCCAGATATTAGCTTCTTACTAAGTACACTTGATGAACGTTAGTGACAAAATCAGGCCAGACTTAGCAACTCTTTCTGCATTTTCATTTACTTCCCAATACGATAAAGGCCATAAACACCTGTCTTTGTTCTTTATTCACATACATTTCATCCCAGACTGTCAGATCCTCCTCACTAGGAGCTCCATTTAATTTGGGGTCATGGTACCAAATAGTTCTTCACTGCTATTTGATGAGGGTGGTCCTGTCACCTAAGTGCTCTTGAAATTAAGTCCTTAGGCACTGGCAGAAAAGAGCTTACATTACAGTAATTATTTCAGTGACAAGTAAGAAAAACTGGCAGATATCCCCTTCACAGGAGAGCAGTTTTCCTCTCTTCAGGAGACTCTTGGAGTTTTAGTTATCAGGACATTTAAGACTCTGAGTAGATTCTTAAACCTTTAGAATAAATTTTGAACTAAGAGTGCCAGCATGTCTGGTATTTACATTAGTATTAAGTGATCTGAAAGTGCACAGAATAGTTCGGCAGTATCTAGAAGAAGAACAGAGATGGAAATAATGAAGATTTAACTGGAGTAGTAAGAAAAGGAGACCAAAAGTATTTTATGTATGTTCAGTACTTCTGGGTGCCACTGTTGCTGAACGCCTGGGGCTTAGCCTAGGTTGAGTTGCTCCTAGCACAGAAAACCAATCCCTGAGACAAAAAGTATTGCCAGGGAAGACAGGTTTTAATGCAGGTGATGCTGGCAGGGAGATCAGTCTCAAACCTGTCTTAGGGAGACTAAAGTCAGGTCTTTCTATACCAGGGAATTACGGAGGGGTAAGGAAGAGGAGCTGGTGAACAGGCAGCAGATGCCCCTCATTGTCCAGATGTAGTGATCTGAAAAGTTTCAGTTCCTTGATACTATTTGAAAGGTCTGACAGTGTATCTCCTGAGAAAGGAACTCAGGTAAAATACATGCAAGTTTCTTAAGTTCCACTTCTATGGGAAAATTTGGCCAGTTTCAGTCCTCTCTTTCTATTTATCAATTCCTCAATCATGGAGAATCTGGCTGCTTCAGGTCAAGGAAGGGCATCTTGGGGTGATAAAAAATGAAAATATCACACCTGTAATTGCAAGTACTTACGAGTTGGTTGGAGTACCATAATTTGGGTATTTTCATCAACATTTTTAGCCACATTGAATTAGGATAATTAATAACATGGAGAAGAAGGTTTCTTTGTAGGCTGTAATAACCCATTTAAAAGTTTGTACCATTTGAGGGCAAAAGCTTCAGTATGAAATTCGTTTCTCTCAAGTAAACCACCTGTCCTGTATTACTCGCTTTGGTTTACTTGGAGGCAGCAAAATAGAATAGTTTTCCTGAGTAGAAAAGAAATGCAATGAGTGGCCCAGAGAGCGCCAGTAAGCTGCTTTGCCACTATCGCCCTGCGCTTAATCAACTGTGAGGATTCTCCGTTTCCTGACTCGTAAAACAAGGGGAGGAGCTGAAGACCTAGTTTCATGGAATTTTCGGTTATTTATTGTCGTCTCACCCGTTAGTACGTTGCTGAGCTTCGGGTCAGAGCCCAATAATTGCGTGCTGAACGAGTGTGGTTTCTCACTCTTGCAGATCCAGGCCGCATTTTGAGCGCGACCTGGGCGGGCGGTCCAAGGGCTAGATTTCCGCCGGAGGCGGAGCTTCGTGCGGCCCCCGCGCGGCGGAGGAGCGGGGCGGAGCTTGCGGCCGGCGGAGGGCGGGGTCTGCGCGGGGACTTCCCCTGGGCTGATCTGCGCAGCGGGTGCGGAGGGCTGGCGTCCAGCGTACGGCGGCGGGCGGGGGGCTGTGGGGCTGGAAGGTGTGGGCGGGCACGCAGCCTCCGACCCTTGGTGGTCTCTTGGGCTTGGTACCCTTCCCTGGGAGTTGTACCCGGCCAGGGCGGGGCGGGCGTTGCTGGGAGGCGGAGGGTTGCGCGGCCGCGAGTCCTGAGTGATCGCGAGCACGTGTGCGTGCGCGTGTTTATCTGAGGGTCGTGCAGCCGCCGCCCCTTCTTCGTCCTTTTCCTGGTTCCACTGCCTAAGGGTGGGAAACCGGCGCCAGAGGCGGCACAGTTGGCCCGCAGCCGGCCCGCTCTTCCCCGCCCAGCCTGCGCCCCCAAAGCGCCCCCTTTCTCCGTCCTCACAAAGGGGACTAGTCCGCCCGCCCCCGGCCCTGGCCTTGAGGGAGCGCTGTGGGGGCGGGCTGCCTTCTGCCTGGAAGTGTTGGGCAGGTAGTGGGAGAGCTTCAGGCTTGAACAACAGGATTTTAAAGCACGTGTCTGTCTGTCGTTTTTTACTTTTAGGGTTTTGGCCAAATTGGGCGAGGGCACATAATAACCACTTACCCCTTCTCACCGAGGAAGAGCGGGAGAAAGGGTAAGTAAGGAATGGTCAGGGGTGGAAGGAGCTAGGACTTTATCCTGAGAGCGAGCGAGACAGAAGGGCTACATCCAGAACTGCCCATGGGGAACTTGGGCCCAGATTCTACCTTTTCATCAGAAACTGGAAGAGCCACCTTCAGAGTCACAGGCTCCAAGCCCCAGACAGTTTTCAGGCTCACGCAGTCTCTAGAGTTGGCTGGGAGTTTAACAGCTTGGGCATGTGAATTCCTTTTAGTCTTTTGACCCGACAGAAAACTGCCCTTCCCCTTCACCTGTTTTTACCTTGGTCTTCTAGTTGTCCGTCTCTGGCCCTATCTTATTAGCCAGCTTTGACTAATCCCTGAGATCATAGCCCTAAAGAATCCCTGTCCTGTTTGATAATGAAGAGCAACCCTCCTAGGGATGGGTACATTTTAAAAGGGGCCTCCTGAAAAAATCCTTTAGGACCCCGAAGCGTAAAGTTAATAAGATTACAAGTGTTGAAGTCCTTTCGGATCTTCTCTTGAGTTTACAGAAGATATTTTGAGGGGAGAAAGATGAACAGGCTGGGCCTTCTTCTCTGGGCCTTCACTCTTGGTACCTCTTCGCAGGCATTCCATTCACTTTTGAAAAGGTGCCAAAAAGGCCATTAAAGTCCTCTGAGGTTTACTGTGATTTTCAGTGTGGTCTATTTCATTGGTTCTTCTCTGGGACCTCTCTCTCACTTCTTTAGCACACTGCTTCCCTTTCCCCTGTGTGGTGAAATGAAACACAGCTCCTCTCACAAGGTGGGGAACCCCTTATGCATCCTATATGCCACATATAAATAACCGCTTTAAACCAGTTGAAATTCATATTAGCTACAGCAGGAATGTAGTAAACTACATTCATGTATTCTTACACAGGAAAACTAGAATTGCCCTCTGTGATAGGTTGCCTATTCTGATATTGGCTGCCTGTGTACTCAACGTGCCTGTTTGTGCTCAAGTGATAGGTGACCACATAATTTACTTTATGGAAAACCAGGAAGTAATTGTTTATTGATAATGGGTTCCTTCATTGATTCAGTAGCTGATTCCCTCTTTGTTACCATGCACTGAGCACTTTTAACAGCACTTTGATAAAAGTAGGATGGTGAGAATGATGAGACTGTATTGGAGATGGCTGTTTTGGGGCTGACCTTTCACCAGTTGTTTTGTGGATTTTCTCCAAAATTACATGTTAATGTGCAAGACTTTCCCTGTGCTACTGATCATAGTGGTTTGCAGGTCTACACAGTGTTGTGGGAGAACAGAATTATTCTGCCTTTCTAATGCTTTCAGTAATAAACTTACAAGGATGACTGACCTTGGTGATTGGTGTCCTCTAGTGAATATTGTTATAGTTATTTTCCAGTGTACGAGTATAATAATTAGATAAGGACAACTTTTTAAATTGTTCTGTAAGAAGGAAGAAGGACCTAATATTAGGAAACATGGAGAGTGTAAAGGATGATGTACTTAGAAAAATAAATACAAAAGTAGACCATTAACTTGCATGGGTTTCTGTGCATTTAGCTGCATTTAAAAAAATCTAAGCTAGAATAGTTCTCTTGTCTTTTTATGGTTATAAAAGTAATATTAAAGTCAAAAAAAGTTACTTAGAATTAAATCTGGGAGGGACATAAAAGGCAAAAAATGGGTCTCCTATGAGCCCACTCTAAGATGACCACTTAATAATTTGATATTTATTTCTTCAACTTTTTGTTCCATATATACACACACTAAATATGCAGCTTAAGTATCTGTTAAACGTGCATACATCTTAGCTACATACTGTATATGGAACATGTGGAATATATGTTTGTATGTATATTGTTATTTAGTAAAATTGTAAATTTCTTCCTTTTTCCCCTTCTTGGCTATTTACCAACACTCCTCAGTCCACCGCAAAACTTCATGTAGAAGTAGCATGACATTTATAGTGTTTTGGATATGAGCTTGATTTCTGACTCTTATTTTATTAGCTGTGTCATTTTGGACCATTAAAACTTCTCTGTTCCTTGATTTCTTATCCATCAAAACAGAACAAAGACTACATGAAAAAGAAAGTGTGAAAAAACAGTGCCTGGCATATAAGTACTTACTTTAAATTTCCCTCCCTGTTTCTCTGTGTGGTCACCCATCACTTTCTTATGATCTTCCTTTTGGTTGTGGAAAGCCATGTAGTACCTAACTTACCCATATTGTTAAGCCTACCTGGGATTTGCCTTTCACAGGGGATCACCTGGTATATCTGATCCTAGAATTTCTGGGACAAGGTCTGACACCTGATGTGACCTTATCAGATCATTCCACAGATGTGGATAAAGTGTGTCAGCTTGAAAAATGAAGGGAAAGAATTTCTATAATGTGTTTAAAAAGCCACGACACTGTTCTTAAAGTGAGAAAGACATATTACTGTATTTAGCTGAGTACTTAAACTTAGGATTTCTATTTTGGAAGTGTCTTTGGTTTATAAGAATTACAATAAAAATGCTGATGCTTCATGTCCAAACTGTCATGATTTTGTCAAGTTGTGGGTTTAATATACAGCTAAGCTGTATATTTAGTAAATCTAATATTGCTCTGGAAGCTGAGAAAGACAAGTTCACAGACATCTGATTTCACACCAGACATCTGGTTTCACTTTACTGAGGAGTACGTTTGTCAGCAGATTATAGGCATATCAACTGTACTGCTATACTTTGTAGCATTTCTGTCATAAGCTGCGGTCTGTAGGATTTAGTATGATGTTTTATTCAAATGACAGCCCACTGAAAATGAGCACCTGGTCAGATAAGCACATTTCCCACAGGTGTCTTCTAGTGTCATTGTTCTTATAAGTTAACAAGGTGAAAACATTCTATCCTTGGTGGTTTTTATATTTTTTGTTGAAGCAAGAAAATATTCTTAAAAGCTTCACTTAAGAACCTGTTATATCCCACAAGTTCATTTTCAGGTCTATCGTTTGTAAAGTTAACAGTGCACTTACAGGAATAAATAGCATTTAGATTTCTAGGTCAGAACCCCAGGAAATCTAATACTTATTTTTTATGGGTACTAAGGAAGGCTTTTTAAACTCATTGTGTGCCTGTTGTATATTAGTGTTATTGTAGACTCTAATCGACATATATAATAGTGTTTTGGAGGCAAATGTCTTCTGAGTGCTAACCTGAAATGGTTGCACCATGTCTCCCTCCGTTTTGAGGTAGTGAGGGGTATAAAAAAGCTCTGGAGGTTGTCATTCTCAGGTTTTCAGGTGGGCCCTGTCATTACTTAGCTGTTGACCTTGGACACAAATTCCTCTTCTGTATGTGGGATAATTACTCATGATTACTGTGAAATTCAGTGAGTGAGTGTAACATAGCACAATATCTGCCATAAAATAAATCTTCAGTAAATAGTTGTTTCATTTTTCCTCACAATCCTGGACACAAGAACACAGACACCCTCCCACCCTCTGCACTTGCATCAGACTAACACACTGGCCAGGACTTGTGGCTCCGTGGAGAGGAATTACTCATAGCATTGGGGATTTGGTAGTGGAGACTCAGAAAGGGTCATGCAGAATAATGACAAAGGAGAAGGGGTTGTGAATTGAGAGAAAGCTGCGTCTTTTGTTCAGCTCATGAATTTAGGTCAATGAATTACTTGGTTCCTAGAAAGAACCATCTTTTTCTCTGGCTTCTCTGTTAATCTTTGTCAACTGTTCCACTGGAAACTCTTACCTTCTTAATGTCTACTTAGTCCAATAATAAGTTTTTTTTCCTTGATCTTACTACCTGAATAGTCATTTTTTTAATTTATTTTTTTTAATGGTTAAGACTTAGTAATGGATGTCTGTACTACAGTATTAGATATCTATACTACAGATGTCTGTACTTTCTTAAGATCTGGTGGGTTTTTTTTTCTATACTCAAAGTCCAGTTGATTTTTTGTTCTTTCACGGGCCCATACCTTATTCATTAACCTCTTGCCTCCTTTTTTATTCTGTCTGTCTGCATGGAACTAGTAATGTACACGGAACTAGTGACTGTGTGAATTGAACTAGTGATGAGGATATAAAGATGAAAAGTTGTTGTCTTTGACCAAGGATCTTGTTGTCTAGTAGGACTACAGCTATCTTGAGCAATAGTTCAAGTACAGTATGCTATTTAACAGAGGTAGGTATAAGTGCAAATGAAATCTAGAAAGCGCTCTTGATCTCTGTCTGAAATGTCAGGGAAGGGTTTTAGCTGAGACTTGAAAACTGGGTAGGAGTGACGGGCATGTTGACAAGCAGTAGAAAACATTTCTAGGTAAAGCTAACAGCATGAGTAGTTGTGTGACACAATGAAAACATAGTGTATTCTGGCAACTATATGTTGGTCAGTTATATTAGAGTCTGAAGGACAAGGTCAGGAGTGAAAGGAGGTGAAACCGGATAGCCAGTTCAGGGTATACTTCCTATACCATGTGTAGTAAGCCACTGAAGAATTGTGAATGTCGTGGAAGATCACTGAAAGCAGTGTGCTGGGTAGATTGAGGGTGGAGTGGGGTTGGATGTGGGGACATGGCAAGACTGACTGGAGACCTTTAAGGACAGTTCGTTAGTATGGTTAAGAGAGGTGGAAAGCCTAGGTAAAGGTGGAAGTAGTGGGAATAGAGAAGTGAGAATATTTGGGAAAAATAAGATGAGGGAGAATTTGCTGGTCTTTGTGACTGTTCGAATGTAAAAGGTATGGGAGAGTGAGGATGTTAGAATTCTTCCTAGGTTTCTGGTAGTGAGTGGGAAAAGGAAGGGGAAGAAGGTATGAGGGGGAAGAGAATGAGTTCAACTTTGGACCTGTGTTTCACATGCTTGCAGGGAATATCATCGGCAAGTGGGAGATGTTTAGAAGACAGTTGTATATAGGATCCTGGAACATCACAAGAGATCATGAAGGCCAGAGTAACAGATTTGTGTGTTTCTCCATATGGAGAGTAATTGAAGACACAGGGATGGATAAAAGTGCTT